CCCCTTCCCCCTCACCCCACCTTGGGCTCTCTTCTATTGTGGGGCAGCACTTATCCTGGGGCCCTAGTTCACACCCCTTGGGAGGAACAAGTTCTAGACAAAGCCTCTTCAGAAGCTGTGATCCCCCCCAAACAGAGCACCCCACACAGAGCCCCCCCAAGAATATGTGGTGCAAAATGAGAGAAAAAGATGGAGAATGGCTGCCTAAAACACTTGGAGGTGAAAGAGATAAGTAGCCAGAGGAGGGGCTGCTGAGAGAGAGAATTTGGTGTGAGTAAGTGGTAAAGCAGCAGAGCCTGCAAGCATAGGCATCAGAATGAACTAGATTTCAAACAGGTGGCCAGGAAATATAGAAAGCAAATGGGTCTAAAAGAGATGTACCACGTCGTCTTTTTATATGATGCTCTGATGACCTTAAAGCCCCATAGAGAGAGAAAAGGGCCAGTCAGTGTGAAACTGGCCAACAGACTGAACCAGAAATTCCGAGCTGACCATAGCAGCACAGCAGAAATCATGTGAGAATTAACTAGAATGAGGTGGAAAACAAGAGCAGCTTGCTAGACCAGGCCCCTGGCAGAGGTCAGGAGTTGTACTGAGAAGATGAACCGGTAGTAATTTCAGAGAGTAGAAACTTAAAAAGCTTTGCAATCGTTGTTTCATTTTTTTCTTTGCAAATATATTAAAATGAAAATTATTATAGAAAAAAATGTGGTTATTTTTTAAAAAGAATCCGTTACAACAAGGTGAATACTTCTGGAAATTTCCAGTGAGTTCCTCATACTCAGAAGCATGATTAAGAGAGAGAATCTGTGACTAGTTATAAGGAAGAATGGAAAATTTTGAAGCACCGTCTGATTATGTAAGTTTTAGGCAATGATGTGTGGAAGTATTGCTGTGATATTTTAGTTATTAATAACAATTTGGGGAAATGTACTCCATTCTGGAGAAACAGTTGGCTCTGGTGGGAGAGAAATACCAGTGTCTGTGGTACATGTAAGGGTTGCGGAAAGACCACCATGCTGTCCAGGTGCCTGGCGGCGCTAGATGTAGGTGTGCAGAGTGCAGCACATAGCGTGTCGTGGCTCGACTAATGGTGGAGAGAGATTATATAGGGAAGGGGGAGAAGGAGGCGGGACCCAGAGGATCAGGAAGTGACCTCAGAGGATGAGGTTCCCCTTGCCGACTCACAGGTGATTGACAGGTGATTATCAGTTACAGGTGCTTAGGGGTTTGGGGGCAGGATGCTTTCTGGTAAGGCTGCATGCTGGCCTTCAGGAAGAAGAGGGAGGGAGGGCTGTTCTCCTCCGCAGACCTAACACACTAACACACGGATGGCAGGAGCCATTCACTTGCTAAGCCTCTTAGGAAAACCAGAGCGGATTTCACCAGCAACAAGCTGTTGACCCTGGCCCTGCCGATCAAGGTACCACAGGAACAGGTTAGGCAGGCACGGAAGTCACCTTGGAGTCAGACCTGGACTGAAATCTCCATATGGCACTCACAAGATGACTCTAGAAGGTTACCCATGGAAATTTTCTGGAGTATAAATCTCGTTGCACAGAGAGAGAGGTGGGGGGGTGGGGTGGGGAGTTGTGATGTGATCCCCTTTGCTTGAATGGTAGGAAGTTGAATTCTGAATGCAAGGGTTGGGGTTGGTAGCTCAATAGTGGAGTTGTGCACATCACCTAAAAATTTACAGTAAGAAGAAGGACTGGGGAATGTAGCTCAGTGGTAGAGCACTTGGCTACCATGAGCGTGGCTCTGGGTTTAATCTGCAGTACCACACACGCACGTGTGCACACACACACACACACAAGCTAACTCTGAATATTTTCAGCACTAGCAACACCCACAACAGCTTGCAGGGAAAGAACACTCAGTATGTGCTAGGTACCATGGTAAATCTTGCCTCTTGCCACATGTCTTTATCTCATGGAATTCTCAAAAAGCTCTAGGAAGCTAATATTTAAAGGCGCCCCATTCTGTGAACAGGAAAGCTGAGGTGGGGGAGGTGAAATGGGGCCGTGTAAACCAGGAAGCTGGTCTTTGGACACAGACAGGCTGGATCCCAGGGTGGACTCTATATGCCTACCCCCACCATCCTGCCCACAGAGCCAAGAGACAACCTAGCATGAGTCTTTGTCAGTTGTGGGGCTTGAACTCTGGGCCTGGGTGCTGTCCCTCAGCTCTTCAGCTCAAGGCGAGCGCTCTACCACTTGAGTCACAGTGTCATTTCCGGCCTTTTCTGCTTATGTGGCGTTGAGGAATCGAACCCAGGGCCTCGTGCATGTGAGACAAGCGCTCTACCACTGAGCCACCTTCCCAGCCCCCAGCCTGAGTCCTGATTCCTGTACCCGTTTTCCTGGAGGCGCTTGGCTGCTTTTCAGCCTTTCCCAAGCCCTCAGCGGACGGCCGTAGAAGCAGAGCACAGACCAGGTTGGCAGCATCTCTGACTGGCAGTTGTTTTCTAAGCGGGAAGGTGAGTCCCTCCCTAACGAATGCGATTTTGGGAGTAGGTCTCTGAACACGGAGAGAATGAAGGGTGCACAGCGCCAGAAGGCAGAAAACAGTGTCTTCGTGTTCCTTCCCGCCCCTCTGGATCCTGTGTCTTCGTGGTGGTGGTGGTGGTGTTTCTGTATGGTTTGAAGTCCCCGCCCTGGCTTGGCTACTCCAAGTCACCAAGCAGTCACCTTCTTAAACCTGGCCCCGCTGGGCGCAGAAATGGGTTCTGAAGACAAGTGTAGAACGAGGTCCGTGTTATCAGGACGAAAAGGAAAGCATGCAGACCGACGCCAGCAGCCCTGGCCCAGACGAGCTGCTTAGCAGTCGGTCAGCAGCCGGTCCCACGGTCAGGACAGACTGACCGATCTACCGCCGACAGACCCACCTGCCGCTGCGTAAACACGTGGCTGTGCGGCCCTGGGCAGACAGGCCCGGGCGGGCGGACAGGGGGCCCCG